TTTCTTTCACTATAATTCACTTGACCTTCAGTAAAGTATACCTTTGGTGCGCGAACCTCAATTCTGGTTTTGGTTCATTGTATTTCACTTGAGATTCAGTAAACTATACGTTTTGTGCACAAACCTCAGTTCTGACTTTGCGTTACTGTATTTCACTTGACCTTCAGTAAACTGTACCATTGGCACAGAAATCTCAATTCTGCCTTTGCTTTACTGTTAAACTATACCCTTGGGAAGTTTAACTGATTTCTGGTTTTGCTTTATTGTATTTGACTTGAACTTCAGTAAACTATACCTTTGGCATGTGAACCGCTGTTCTGGCTTTGCCTTACTGTTAAACTATACCTTTGCCGCCCCAAACTCTCTTCTGTCTTTGCTTTACTATTAAACTATACCTTTGGTGACCAAATCTCAGTTCTGGCTTTGCTTTATTATATTTCACTTGACTTCAGTAAATTATACCTTTGGCTCACGAACCTCAGTTCTTACTTTGCTTTACATTATTTGTCTTGATCTTCAGTAAACTGTACCATTGGCACGCAAATCTCAATTCTGACTTTTCTTTACTGTTAAACTATACCTTTGGCACACAAACCTCTGTTCTGGATTTGCTTTACTGTTAAACTATACCTTTGGCATGCGAACCTCACTTCTGACTTTGCTTTACTCTAAAATTATGCTTTTGGCGAGCGAACCTCAGTTCCGGTTTTGCTTTATTGTATTTCTCTTGACCTTCATTAAACGATAACTTTGGCGCGTGAACCTCAGTTGTTTGCTTTACTATATTTCACTTGACCTTCAGTAAACTATACCATTGGCACCCGAATCTCAGTACTGGCTTTGCTTTATTGTATTTCACTTGAGTTCAATAAACGATATTTTGGTGTGCAAACCTCTTTTCTGGCTTTGTTTTATTGTATTTCAATTGACCTTCATTAAACTATACCTTTGCCGTGCGAATCTCAGTTCTAGCTTTACTTTACTGTATTTCACATGACCTTCAGTAAATTATACATTTGGCCTGCGAACCTCATTTATAGTTTTGCTTTTTTGTATTTCACTTGACCTTCAGTAAACTATACCTTTGTCGCATAAACGTTTGTTCTGGCTTTGCTTTACTGTTCAAATATAGCTTTGGCGAGTTTAACTCATTTCTGGTTTTGTTTTATTTTGTTTCACTTGACCTTCAGTAAACTATACCTTTGTCGCACAAACCTCAGTTTTGACTTTGCTTTACTGTTAAACTGTAACTTTGGGACGCGAACCTTAGTTCTGACTTTGCTTTACTGTTAAATGGTACCTTTGGCATGCTAAGCTCAGTTCTGGCTTTTCTTTATGGTTAGACTATACCTTTGGTGAGCAAATCTCAGTTCTGGCTTTGCTTTATTATATTTCACTTGAGTTCAGTAAACTATACTTTTGGCACATAAACCTCTTTTCTGGCTTTGTTTTATTGTATTTCACTTGACCATCAGTAAACTATACCTTTGGCACACAAACTTCTTCTCTGGCTTTGTTTTATTGTATTTCACTTGACCTTCAGGAAATTATACATTTAGCCCGCGAACCTCATTTCTGGCTTTGCTTTACTGTATTTCACTTGACCTTCAGTAAACTATA